CTGTAAAAACAGCCAACGAGAACGGTTTTAATCTTAGTTTTGATCTCAACCCATACCGCTTCAAGATTTGGTATATGAAGATCAGGTCTAGGTTTGTAAAATAGAGAGCTTTTAACATAAATCCCCACCCCGCCAAATCCATCATCACGGTTACGTAGTACAGGTAAATGAAAACCATCTATGTTTAAGTTTTCTACTTTTGAGTCTTTACCTAACCATGTTTCGGAAAATGCCAAGATATCATTATCGGAAAATTCTGCTTGTATAAGATCAAGTTTCTGTGAGATACTACGTACATTTAAGTATAAGAGACTCAGATGTTTATCTGGTCCCGGATTGGGCTGTATGTTGCCACTAAGTAAAAGTAAGGTATAAATTATTAATGACAAAATAATCGTATTTTCAATACCGACGGAAGTAGGTATAATACATCTGACATTTTCATGAGCAAATATAACTGTAGTATGAAAGGCATGTAATACTTCTTCTGCCCATTTCTTCAATAAGGCTATTTCATTAGCGATTGTTTTGAAATGATGCTTTGTTTTAAACAAATGGGCGAAGAAGAAGCAATGTTAAATGTGACAACAGATATTAAGTAGCACGAAATTTTAGATGGAGAAATACAATAAAGTTGGTCAATTTTAAAACAATGCGTTGATGTTATATGTTGTGAAGTGCACATAATAAGGCATATTAGATTTATTTTGAAGGTAATTAACAAAATAACGGAAATGAACAGTAAAATCTTTTGAATAAGACAATAATTACTAAATATAAGAAGATAACTAATAGAGTAACATATGTACATATTTCCCAAGTATTCTCTTGGGTTTCTTATCAATCAACAGTAGGGTAACATGTGAAGTTTAAGGCTCGGAGCGATTATGGTGTATCCTACAAAACATATGCAGGGACCCCTATCTGAAAAACCACATTATGCTGTTTCAGTATATAGTTGCTGCTAAAGTTGTGTTTTAATAGATTATTTCATATACACGCTCTTAACAATAGGATCAATTCATCAACAATATGACGATAGTAGGGGCATGCAAGAAACCATAATGTTATATTTGCACTTTAAATAATTAATTGGTAGGCAGTCTTTGTTCTACAAGCTTCAATATATTGGGCTGGTGTACTTTGTTTTTTGGAAGAGTGACTCTTTCGTCCAGGCCTAGTGAATTATAATATGTAATGATATAACTTTCGTTGACTTGACGATTTTATGTGCAAGTGCAAGACTAATCCATTGGTTTAAGGTGACAGTACTCACAGGCAATTCTAATAAAGAATAAAGTATAGATTGACATGTAACCCATGCCATTTAACCTATGACAATTAATTTCATACACGTGTATGTTTATAAACAAGGTTGTTTATTTTGATGATGGCCTAGTTAATTATAACAACACATGTTAAGAAAACATCTGCTGACCTATAACGATTGTCTATGCATGACTAATTCCGCAGTTAAAGTGGCAATACTACACACTATAACAACGAGTAAGGTTTAAATGACATACAACCTATGACAAGTTTGTACGAAGCATATTTAGAATTTTGTACAGATCACAATTTATATGTGGTATTCCCTAAAAAGTAATGATCCATACGTTGTACTAAAATATAGTTGCCAGCAGAATGTGCCACGGAAAAGTTGGTGGATTTCAAGGGACTGCATTTGTCGAAATTAATTTGTGTTTGTTTGATATATGGATACACTATTCCATTTCTTATTTCAACAAGAAAATTTTTTTTTTTTAACCATTTAATGGTTATACATGGAATTCATTAATCGTCACTAGTATTATCGGCATCGGTGTTCATTGCTGCACCACGTTCAAAATTTTGTGCTTGAGGTCGTATAACCACTTTAAGCCGTGTTGTTTCTTTGAAATTATCAAGTTCTGTTTGAGATTTGATAACTTTGATGGAGTCGTCCCTTAATTTCAGGAATATGTTGCCATCGCGGGTCCACGAAGAATTAATTTTCTTTTCTTTAGCCATTTGTCTCGCATCATATGCCAATTTTGCTCTTATGCGGGTGAGATCTTCATTTACTGATATCTTATGTTTGTTGAGGTGTTCAGGTAATGCACTGTAGTTAACGGTTTTAAGTTTTTTAGCGTTAATAATGAATGCACGTTTAGTTGCATAGCCTTTGAAACGGACTATTATCGGGCGTGGTTTGTCTGTTTTATGGTACCGAGCTGGTGCACCCACTCTGTGGCTCCTGTTAATATCTGAATGGTCAATGTCGACCCCAAGTATTTTGCCAACATCTATGACGATATCATCAGTCGTTTCTTCAACAAGTTCATTGACCCCCGAGATCCGTATCCCCTCCCGTCTCCCATATTGCTCGAGATCATCTAATTTATCATTTAGTTTCGTTATTTCAGCGTCTTTGGTCCTGCCAATTGATTCCAGTTGTGTTGTTCTATTTTCGAGCTCTGCGACCCTCTCACACAGTTTGTTAGCAACTAGTGATGCCACGGCATTAGCTATTTTCGATATGATGGCGTCATTATTGAGGACATTCATTATGACATGTTCATTTATTGATACTGAATCCATCAAAACTTCGTCGTCTGTATTTGATTCACTCCTGCTTTTCAAACGCTTGGGTTCAGATTCAGGCGGGCTGGAGGACGAGGAGCTGGTGAACAGTCCTCGCTTGAACAATTTCTCCATTCAAAGTGCAGAGCCACAATAACAAAGATAAGGATTGTTTGTACTTACAAGATTGCCTTTTTCCAGGTAAAATAAAACAGACAAATCCACACAGGTAACACACTATAATTATATGTAAGCTTTCACAGTTTCATGCCATAATTTTATTGCATTTGTTGGCGACACAGATGAATGGGGTGAGGAGTTGAGTTAAGTCCGTGCAGGATGACGTCATCATTGAGTAGACAAACAAACAACTTGAAGAACTTCTACGTTTTGGCTATTTTCATAAATTACCGCCTTTACTTTCAAAAAAGGGATTTAGTAGGGATATCACAATACAAGTGACCACATTTTGTAGGAAATAAACATATTTTCACAGAGTATATTATTGTGTATGAGCCATTTTCACATGTTGTTGTGGGAGACCAAGTTACATGCGTCTAACCCCTTCCGCCATTGTCACTATATATATCGGGAGAGGGGTGGGAGAGGGTGATTTCGAGAAACCTTTTCGGTGTATATCGGGAGAGGGGTGGGAGGGGGTGATTTCGAGAAACCTTTTCGGTGTATAGCGGGAGAGGGATGGGAGGGGGTAAGTTGGAGATTTTTTTTTAAAATTGCTTTCCATCAGTTCAAGTCTTGGTGCCCGACCTAATTCAGGAATATCGTACAGACGGATTGTCTTCGAAGATATGACTGAAGGGCTCACAGATATATCGAGGACTCGCCGCAGTATTGAAGAAAACACGTTTTACACCTACTCCTTCAAGCTGTGGAGTAGAGCACGGAAGACATATTCATTAATAAACAAAGCTGAATTTTTCACCATCACGATTTTAGTATTAACGTTCCATTTTGAAATTGTCTTTGGTTTAGGGGGTTAATACGGATAATCTGGCCTGCTTCTTGTGAAGCAACGTCACGAAGCCCACGACATTTAATAAATATCTCTAGTATCTGTTTATCGTCTGCATGGGTCTTTTATTTCTTCATTAATCAAAATATTTTATACAAATAATGGAATGGATCAAGTGATTAACAACTGCTTGCTTTCCACGTGGTCCGAAATGTCAAAGGTCCGCTTATCACCACGAATAATAACGATTTTAATTATCTTATCATTTGTAAATATTTCCTTAAACATTTAATAAACAATATCATTTTCAAATAGAGGTTAAGTGCCAATCAAAACGCATTAAGTGCGGAGGCGACATGCGAAATTTCGCAATCTAGTTGCTCGAAATGATTTGACCAAATGACTAATCTCCGTCAGTGGTATTTGGCTTGGCACATTTCCTAATTTATGTCATGCCTACGCCTGAATTAGGTCATTGTGTACCTCGTGTGTCGATAACGTATTTCAACAAAATAATCCAGTTATGGAACGAAAACAATTGAGAACACCCGAGTACACTCCATCGTTCCTATACTAATCGCCGACACGAAGAATATTTTGTCAAAGAGCACCAATGTATTGCAATAAGTGACGGACAAGGAGAGAGAGAGAAATGGGGTTTAACGTCCACTCGACAAGACTAGGTCATTTCGTGACTAATATATGGTTCAATTTTATTTCAATTATTTGCGTGTGCGTAGGGGTCTGTAGCAGTGAGGGGAAACCGGAGGACCCGGAGAAAACCCACGAGGTTCCACAGGCGATCCTACTCCTTGTCACGCACTACCGGGGAATTGAAACCACGCCAGTTGACTCAATGATCAATGACAGACCTTATGATACAACACGCGTAGGGGTCTGTAGCAGTGAGGGGAAACCGGAGGACCCGGAGAAAACCCACGAGGTTCCACAGGCGATCCTACTCCTTGTCACGCACTACCGGGGAATTGAAACCACGCCAGTTGACTCAATGATCAATGACAGACCTTATGATACAACACGCACTCGCTAACCACTCGGACATTCAATCCCCCTGACCGACAAGGAAAGACATCTAATAGATATGTTGTATATTCTACACATACATACATAACTTAATTGAATTTAAAAAAACGGTACTACTTATTCACTGACAGGGGGTGGGGTGTTTATTTTTATTATTATTTTTTTTTTTTTTTTTTTTTTTTTTTTTTGGTTAATACCGCCCAAAGTATGGTAAAATGTGATCGACAATGAAAGTTATGTTATATTATGCACATTCTACACTCGATTTAACATATTTAACAACGTTGGCAACTTTTCTTATGCAAACTGAATCATTCGACCCTCGTTTTAACGTTCTATGGGCGAGCTGTTTCCAACTAATTGTAATTTTAACAATAAACCGAATTTATAATCATATAATCGTTTGACAAACAACTAATTTATGGCTTCTGGATTTGATATTTAACTGAAATCGCATATGAAAATCTGCTCTCATTTGGTTAGATATTACAATTGAACAGCAGACAAAATGTCGTCCTTGGTTAACATACTGGCGGTGCTTGCTTTGGGATTATTCCATCTTACTCATGGTAAGTGGGGAGAGAGAGAGAGAGAGAGAGTGCGCGCGCGAGAGAGAGAGAGAGAGAGAGAAAGATGGTCATTTCGGGAGTAACATATGGTTCAATTTTTCAATAATTTGCTTGCGGGTAGTGAGTGGTCTTTATCAGTGGGTGGAAACAGGAGAAGCCGGACGGAGAAAACCCACTATGTTGGAAAGGCGACCCTACGCCTTGCCACGTACAAGCGTCAAATCAAAACCACGTCAGACTCAATGACGGACCTTATGATCTGTTGTTTCCCACGAAAAGCGTGTGGGTTTTCGGGGAAAGGACCGCATCACCCAAGAAAAAAAAATATCTTTCAATCTTGCACCCCCCACTCTCCGGCCAATAACTGGGAAGCGCATGCAGTTCTCATTATTCGCAAAGATAAGTCGGCTTCTTGTAAGAACCGAACTATCTTGTCAGTGCCGACAAGGTAGGTACGGATGATACTAAATCAAACTTCGCTGGTAGTGCGCACAGTGGAGAAATACGGTGAATATATGGCATGTTGGGGGATTGTATTGTATCATTTTATTGACCTATACATAAAGTACAATGGTATAAACACAATATATTCATAGATTCAATAAGGCGATGGAGGATGGAACAGGCGTAAGTCGGTGTATGTGTGGGGTGTGTGTGTTTTGTGGGGAAGCTCCCCTGCTCGCGCAGATCATATTTTTTCCTGCATTCATTGAATAACTTGGGGAATATTGCCACTTTAATTCTACACTACTATGAACCTAGATTGTGTTGTGATGTTTTGCGTTGCGTTGTGTTGTTGTAGGGTGTGGTATGGTGGTGTGTGGTATGGTGTGGTGTAGTGGTGTGTGGCATGGTGTATTGTATTGTATTGTATTGTATTGTATTTATTTTATTTTATATGAATTATAAGGAATGTACACGAGAGAGAAGTTAACTGTTAATGTACCGTTGGCGGCTGGTGAAAAACAACGTGTACCATTTGATGAGGCCGTGTATGACAGTGAACATAACTTCCATCCCCAAACTAGAACTGTTGATATCACCAAGAAATGGCAGTAAGTAAGAACTTATATATTTTGGCGGAGGAGGCGGATGTAAATTTTTCATTAATACGAAAACAAAGTGTGTGTGTGTGTGTGTGTGTGTTTGTGTGTGAGAGAGAGAGAGAGAGAGAGAGAGAGAGAGAGAGAGACGTCCATTCGACACAAACTAGGTCATTTCGGGACTAACATATGGTTTAATTTTATTTCAATAATTCGCTTGCGAGTAGGGGTCATTAGCAGTGGATTCGAAACCACACCAGTTTACTCAATGACAGACCTTAAGAGAACCATCGAGTGTTTTAAATGAATTTGGAGACACGGTGGCTAGCTAACCCGAAGGTCCATTTTTTTATACCGGGGGGGGGGGGCAATGGCCGAATGGTTAGCACGTACGCACTGTATCATAAGGCGTGTGAGTGAGCTGGCGTGGTTTCGATTTCCCGTTTATACGTGACAAGGAGCAGGGTCGCCTGTCCAATCTCGCGGAACCTCGTGGGTTATCTCCGGTTTCCTCCCACTGCTAACGACCCCTACGCGCAAGTTAATTATCGAGATAAAATTGAACCATGTGTTATTCCCGAAATGACCTATTTTTGATCCCTGGCGTGCATATAAAAAAATATTTTATATAAAGTATAGGCCGCAGTGGTGCTGTTCGGGCAAAATTTCATTCATAACACACTGTATGGCATATGTCCGTCTTCTAGTCGGTGCATAACAGTAGGGTGTTAAACTCCATTTCATTTTAACTGAATTGATATCTGTAGCACTTTCTCGACCAACACGGGAAAATAATCTTCGACCTCTTAGTTTTTGAACTTTGGCTCCCTCAGCATTTTGATAATGCCCACACTCTAAAGGTGTTCACAGTTTTATGGATACACAATTACCGAGTTTGATACTAAGCGACGTTCCGACGAGGATACTCTCGGCTTTATCATGCAAATGATCTAAATATATATACAGAATATGCAACAAAGATATAAATTAAATTCAATTAAAGCTTAACACCTTTGATTAGGGGCCATAAGGAACAAACTCAGTAATTGTGTATCCATAAAATTGTACCTTGTGTTAATATGTTTAATTACTACATGTAAATGTCAATCAAAGAAGATGTTCACAGCTGATTCGAAACTAAAAATAAGTGAACGTTGACTGACAGTAAAGTGCAACTAACAATATTCTGCGGCAATGTGACAGCCCACTAGTCGGGATTCGTTCAATGAAATAATTATTTTGTGGTTAAATGTTGCCGATCAAATATACATTTTCGTCCATCTTTAATTAAAGGACACTGTTCGTGTCAGCCATTATCAAATATGGGATAGAACTTGGTAAACACATTCCAAAAATAATTTTAACACAAGAGAGCATTGCTAAGATATATGCGTAACGAAGATTTGAAGAAAAGGGAAGTGACGCAAAACTGACTGAAGTAACGAACGATATATGATAATGGTTAGCGTGTGCGCGCTGTATGATAAGACCTGTCATTGAGTCAACTGGCGTGGTTTCGATTGACCGATTGAACGTGACAAGGAGTAGGGTCGCCTGTTTCCTCCCACTGCTAAAGACCCCTACGCACCAGCGAATTATTGAAATAAAATTAAACCATATGTTAGTCCCGAAATGACCTAGTTTGTGTCGAGTGGACGTTAAACCCCATTTCTCTCTCTTTCTCTCTCTAACACATTATCGGTTATTTTCAGTTTGTGTCCTTATACATATAATTGTCAATTAAAACTAATCAGTTTCGTAAATAGTTTATACATTATCAGTATCGTGAGACCGTAAAAGAATCCAACAAGGAAGTCCACATTAAACTAAATTCAGACTATACAACATACTAGATCAAGGAGGATGTATGTGTTTTCATTGTTTAGTTGTTCGAGAGACTTGAAAAATCTCGACAAACTCTTACTGATAGATTAACCAGTCATTCAAATGAAAAAACACCACGATGTATGGTTGTTTACAGCTACTGGTTTGATGTGAAATGAAATGGGGTTTAGCGTCCTTCTTCTCTGCATACACCACGGCTTACTCTTATTTCCAAATCCCAACTGTCAAGAGTTCTTTTGTATGGACGCCAATGTGTACACGAGTCCTCAATTTATCGACTATGTGCCGTCCCTTGCCAGGCCATCCGCCCTACACCAGTGACAAGTGGGAATCACGCGGAAAAACTCGACGAACGTTCTCAACTAACGCAGTGATCGAACACGGGCTCTCCATGTTAGCGAACCAGCGTCTTATTCACTGAGCCACCGCAACCCCCAGCCTCAGGTATTTAAGAATCCTCACATGTTTTATTGAGTGCTCCTTTAACAGGTCCTTAAATGTAAAGCTCTTATTGCAATACTGATCCCAATACTGATACGGGCATTGGGACCATAATGAGTGTTTAATGACATTACGAAAAATCCAATCTCGAATCTGTAGTAAATATGTCCCTAAAGGATTCAGTAATTCTGATAGATAGCCTTTATGCCAACAAGCACTTGCCAATTTATCCTTACTAATTCCGTATTAAGGCAAGACATTATCAAGATCGTTGGGTGTTATTGTCGAGAGAAGACGACTTGGTCTTAATAATAGAATAAATTGACACAAAAGATTGGGCTACTTTTCTATGAGCAGGTGTTACGTGAGAACATATTAATACTAATACCACCATCAATTTTAAAATCAGTAAATAAAGAAGGCTTAAGACTGTGTAATTTTCACATTAGTTCAATATATCCTTTCAGTCTTGTGATAACAATATTATGTTCTATTTACATGATGCCTAATAATAGATCATTACCTGGAAGGAGATCCCAGTCTATTACATGATGCCCAATAATAGATCATTACCAGAAAGGGAACCCCAGTGAGCCTTACTTTGACTACCGTCTTTCAATTTTAAAACGTTCGGAAGTCATTCATTTTCGATTATAAGCAACAACGCGGAACCAAAATTGTGTATGTTCTCTATATAGATGACAACGGACAATAATCATTACCAGAAGGGTATACGCATGCAATTCCATATTTCCCCTTAGATCCTAAAACCAATTCTTACTTAAGATTTTCAAACCATTCTCATGAATTTTTATTTATATATTAGGACTTGATTGCGTGTGATAAAACTTTGAAAGGTGTCATCCTGGGCCTAATAATAGTAATAATGATGCCATTTATGGCGGAAACCATGACATTGAATGAACCTTGAACTTTGCAACTCGATTATCACAGGTGATACTTGGTATTCGCGATGGCCGAGGAATCTGATAGGCTTCCCGGCTGGACCGACCAATAGCCAATCGAAATTAGTGCCGAAATATTCAGGTCGTTGATAAGATGTACGGGGGTTAAAGCCTTCTGTTAAAGATGAGGTGCCACTAAAATAAAAAAAAATGTCTTTATATATTTCAGTTACTATATCGAGGCGCATGTGTCGATCTCTGGATTAGAGCCAGGGAAAAACGCTGGGGTCAAGGTCCAGCATGAAGATAAAAACGGACAGACAACAACACTAAAGGAATGCCATACAAACGATGACAAGGTCCGACGTAATCTGTGCAAGATGGATACTAAAACCTCTCTTGACAATGGTGATAAAATTTATGTAGAAGTTCTCTCAGAGAGCGATGCCGTGATTACACCAGAAGGAACCTATATTTTCTTGTCCGAGATACACATGGATTATGTGAACAGCAAGTGAAATCATAATTGTAATAACTCAGTCTAAATAGTAAATGAAATGAAGTTTAATACGACTGTTGCTTGTTGTCTTCTAATATTCTATTTTAATTGGGGGGGGGGGGGGTCGGATGGCCGAATGGTTAGCAATATCTTCGAAGACAATCCGTCTGTACGATATTCCCGAACTAGGTCGGGCACCAAGACTTGAAATTATGGAAAGCAATTTTAAAAGAAAAATCTCCAACTCACCCCCTCCCATCCCTCTCCCGCTATACACCGAAAAGGTTTCTCGAACTCACCCCTGGGGGTGGGGGGTGGGGGGTGGGGGGATGGCTGAATGGTTAGCACGTGCGTGCTGTATCATAATGTCTGTCATTGAGTCAACTGGCGTGGTTTCAAATCCTCGGTTGTACGTGGCAGGGAGTAGGGTCGCCTGTCCAACATCGTGGGTTTTCTCCGGGTCCTTCGGTTTCCTCCCACTACGCGCAAGGGAATTATTGAAATAAAATTGAACCATGTGTTAGTTCCGAAATGACCTAGTTTGTGTCGAGTGGACGTTAAACCCCATATCTCTCTCTCTCTCCCTATTTTAATCCAAAAGCCATGGATCGTAAGCATTATCAACCCATTCAACATAGGGCGCATTATATCCTGGAGAGAGAGAGAGAGAGGGGAGGGGGGAGAGAGAGAGAGAGAGAATGGGGTTTAACGTCACGTACGACCGGGGATTCGAAACAACGCCAGTTGACTCAATAACCATTCGGCCATCTACCTCCCTATATCCTGGAGGGTGTTTGCGTGCCATAAAACAATATTAAAGACGCATTATGTAAGATTTAAATAAAGAGTTGGCCGTTCGTGATATAATAAGATTAAAACTATATAATGAAAAATTAATATATACTATTCAAAAAAAGTAGGGGATATTTGATTTTGGGGGCATAATACTAAAATATACAAATGACTACGAAAAAAGTCACTATAGAACCTAACAGAAGAAACATTTCCAGTTACATGTGACGCCCAAACGCACCAATAGCTACCGCATGGAATGCAGGTGATGATTGGGATCATCATGGGGGTCCAACCCAAGATTTGCACGACTCTGACTTTGAATGTTACAGTCATTGTGGCATTGAATTCCAGGGTGGAAACATCAGTTTATTTGTTTTAGTGACCAGAAAACAAATTTTGATATGCGTCGGCTTACCCAAAATGAAAGGTTACGTGCCCTTGGCATGCTACAGATCGGCACAACACAGGCGGTTGTGGCGCAGACGATGAATGTTTCTCAGTCTGTCATAAGCAGGCTATGGTCCAGATACCGTGATACACAATCTGTACAGGACAGACCACGCTCAGGTCGACCAAGGGCGACAACTCAAGCCCAGGATCGATTTATCCGTACCTTGGCCTTGAGAAATCGTGTCATCACAGCAAATCAGATCAGCGCTCGTCTTCAAACAGACACTGGTGTGAGAGTGAGTGGCCAGACGATTCGGAATCGACTGCATAGGGGTCACCTTCGCGCCCGACGTCCTCGCGTGATCCCTTGTTTGAGAGATCATCACATTCAGGCAAGACGTCGTTGGTGTAGGGATCGTCAACACTGGGATAATCGACGCTGGAGCAATGTGATGTTTTCAGATGAGTCAAGGTTCACTGTTGATTTTTTGGACAGACGTAGGAGGGTGTGGCGTCGTCGAAACGAGCGCTTCCAAGACGTTAACGTCATCAGGCATGATCGATTTGGGGGTGGTTCTGTTATGGTGTGGGGAGGCATCACTGTTGCTGGAAGAACGGCTTTACATGTTGTTGCAGGGCGTGTTACAGGCCAGTACTACCGGGACAACATCTTGGCAGTCCATGTTGTGCCGTTCGCACGACGTCATGGCCGCCGTTTCATCTTCCAGGATGACAACGCAAGATGTCACAGGGCCAGGATCGTTACAGGTTACCTCCAACAACAGAACATCACCACATTACCTTGGCCAGCACTGAGTCCCGACCTCTCCCCCATCGAGCATGTCTGGGACATGCTTGGACAGAGGTTACGTCAACGTCAACAACGTCCTGCCAATGTCCAAGAACTTGCTGCTGCGTTGCAACAGGAATGGGACAATCTGGACCAAAATGACCTTAGACGTCTCATTAGGAGTATGCCACGTCGGATCAATGCTTGTTTGGCAAACAGAGGAGGATTTACCCGTTACTGACTTGGTTGTGATGCTGTGGTAACTTTGCTGTTTGACCCCGGGTATCATTTTACCCTTATAATGGTCAGTCTGTGCCTTACTTAGTCTAACGATCATTTGGAATAAATCGATGAATGTGAACTTCATTTCATTTTGTCATTTGTTTCTTCGTCAGTTTCATTAGGTGACTTTAATAACACTTAAAAATCAAATATCCCCTACTTTTTTTGAATAGTATATTTAAAATTTCAGTCAATTTACTTTATTCTGGACGATGTTATGATCATTTGAAGTTTTTACAAGAATAGCGTAGTCTCGGTTATCATTGTTGCAATAATAAACGAAGTCTCGACTTTCTGTTTTAACATTAACCGATTAAATGGCGTGGATTGTCTAATCCATTTAATACTCAAGTTGTCAGATGAGACAGATTTGATTATCTTGGAATTTCTCTGGCACTGCAGCGATGCTCGTTTGGGTGACGTATAACATCTGTAGTTTTCATGGAAATATAAATCTAAAATGAATGAATGAACGTCCTACTGTTCTGAACAGGGGCGTAAATGTGCGGGGGAAAAAAATAGTCGGTCGCAAAATCAGTGCAGTCGGTCGCAAAATAAGAGCAGTCGGTATCAAAATAAGTGCTCACTGCACACGTCACGCTACTCACGCAAAACTTTAGTATAAAATAACCTTGTCAACTTATCATGTTTGAAAAAATGTTGTGTTTCACTCTTATTCTGTTGTCAGTATTTAGGTCTAAGAACAAAATTTCCTCCAGGGAGAAAAATAGTCGGTCTCAAAATAAGTGCAGTCACTGCAGTCGGTCTCAAAATTATGCATCGCCGTCTTAATGAATTAATGAGGTAAACAAATAATGCCAGAATAGATCCCAAATACTAGTCGGTCGCAAAATCAGTGCAGTCGGTCGTAAGATATGAGCAGTCGGTATCAAAATAAGTGCTCACTGCACACGTCACGCTACTCACGCAAAACTTTAGTATAAAATAACCTTGTCAACTTATCATGTTTGAAAAAAATGTTTTTCACCCCATGGCAAAAAAATATTCGGTCTCAAAAAAAGTGCTCACCGCAGTCGGTCTCAGACTAAAGGAATTAATGGGGTGTTTTCTGACCATCAGAATTCTGCAAAATCTCTCCCCAAAGTCCAGGGCATTTCAGAGACCAAGTAAGCGCCCCGTTGACGTAAAGTGCCCTCAGGCCCGGTCCTCAAAAATTAAAAGCTCAGTTACATATCGGCGCTCAATTCCATTATGCCATCATTCTTCAACTCCTTCTCTGTCTTATACGATCCCATCACTAGTGAGTGAGTCGTGGGTCAAAAGACTGTATAATTGTTAGTTCTATTCTCACAAAACAGGCGACATTGACAGATAGGCCTCAAGATTCTGTCCCATTTCTTATCCTCTCGTTAACGAGAATTTGGATCCATTTGCCATGACATTGACTAAAATTGTCAGGCCCAGTCCCAAAAATTAAAAGCTCGCTTACACATCTGAAATTATTTCGCGCCTGCGGCGCTCGATTCCATTATAACATCATTCTTCCACTCCTCTGTTGTCTTATACTGTCTCAGCACTATCATATTCACGGTTATACTGAACTGCCTAGTTATGTTAGTACTACTTTAGAGGTGTAAATTCTCTCTTCGGATATAACAGACTTCGAATGATTCTTCAATTCTTTAATATACCGGAACATAAATATACATATATTGTCATACAGTACTGACAGGCCAGTTACTGCACTTAGTATGGGATCCTAACTAGTGACTGCCTTCAATGTACAAATTTTGTTATATTTAAGGAAAATCAGATAAAAAGATCAAAGTAAATGTAATTAAAACTGACATGTCGATAGATGAACAATGCATAAAACAATATAATAAATCAACAAAAACAATAGATGGGATTAACGTCGTTACCAATGACGGCTTGAAAAGTGGTGACAGGTTAACGACTTACTAGGAAGTTGATCTTAAAGTGGTTAATTTAAGAAGCATTAATTATATTAGCGATAGCAGATTATCACACCATTATAATTTCCTGTGTTTTAGAAAAGACGCGTCCCTGCGTCTTAATTAACGATACGAAAGAAATGATATATTATTTGTTGAATGATGAAAAACACAATAATATTAAATATTGAATTCGTAAAGTTAAACAATCGAGCAAGAGAGAAAAAATTTGAGCCGAACACGAATACTGACTGTAGCTAAGATTATCACACTATTACAATTTCCTCTGTTTTAGAAAAGACGAGTCCCTGCGTCTTAATACACAACATGAACTAAATGATACATTACATTGTTGACTCATGGAATCAGGTAAATAAAAAGATGACATTAAATATTGAGTCCATTAAGTTGGAAGTCCCAATCAAGGATTAACAAAATACACAAACGGGCAACAGTGGTATAATTCAAGAAGCAAACACTAATAGTACTGTCTACAGCCAGGAAATTTAGATCTCCATTTCCAGTTAGATTCCCATTCATAACTATTATAGCTTTCCACGGGCACGGCTCTTAGATTAAAATCTCCACATTGTTGTCTTACAGTTTTTGCACATTCCCAGTATGTCCCTCGTTCGGTTTGTATTAGGTATTCATGGTCATCCGGATTGCCCAAATATCGCTGTCGTAGAATGTTTTCAATCCGAGCAAAGGGTGTAGGTTCCACTGGAACTTTAAGGTTTGGCATAATACTCTTGTTCTCCCCCATTAGCGCAACGAAGGTGTCGTCGCGTTTCAGATGTGGCAATCCTAAAATGTCGATATCTTCGCCGTACATGCCACCATTCATCGAAGATTCTGTTTGAGAAATCGGGTCTTTGGTAACAGCTACTGTTTGG